GATGACGTCAGTGCTTGTTTGTGGGGAGGGGGAAGGTAGTTAGGGGAAGGGTAGGAGGGTGGGGAGGGGGAAGGGTAGGAGGGTTGGCTGCTGGTGGAGGGGTGAGTAGTTGCTACTGGTGGGAGGGGGGGGGGATGTGTATCACTTGGTAATTACTTTTTTTTTTTTTTATATTTTATTTAAAACATGACATTACAAAATATAATATATAAAACTCATTTTAGGGTATAAATTAACACAATCCTACCTACAGCTAACATTACACACCACACTTACAACTCCGTGTGGGTACACCCCCCCTTCCTGCTCCCTCATACTATCACTTAACCCAAACCTGTTGGAGCTACCCAACAGAATTACATAATATGAACAACACTTTTATATACACATCCCTTGAAATGGTACTTAATAATCGATTGCAGACCATGCAATTCATCGCACTGAACATATACAGACATATTACCCTCCCCCTATTGGTTAGATAAGATAAGATAAGATTTCGTTCGGATTTTTAACCCCGGAGGGTTAGCCACCCAGGATAACCCAAGAAAGTCAGTGCGTCATCGAGGACTGTCTAACTTATTTCCATTGGGGTCCTTAATCTTGTCCCCCAGGATGCCACCCACACCAGTCGACTAACACCCAGGTAGTCGACTGGTGTGGGTCGCATCCTGGGGGACAAGATTAAGGACCACAATGGAAATAAGTTAGACAGTCCTCGATGACGCACTGACTTTCTTGGGTTATCCTGGGTTATCCAACCACCCCACTATTTACAACCTAACATGCTAACAATGAATGTTGCCTAATCTAATGTCACACAGCAATGATCAAAACAATTTTTTTATGTAATTGTCCTATTGGTTCAAGTACATAACAATATGTATTGCACGACAATGATGATATAGAAAAGTCAGAAAGACATACAAAATGACTACAAAGCCATATGTATAAACTTAGTCTCAAAAATCCATCACATATAAGCTTCTACACATTTAAACCCCTCAAGGAAGGTTCCTTGATGTTGGTGAGGGGCTCTTGATTTAGGGAATTGGATCTGTGCTCCAGTTCCCCGAATTAAGCCTGAATGCCTTCCACATCCCCCCCCTCCCAGGCGCTGTATAATCCTCCGGGTTTAGCGCTTCCCCCTTGATTATAATAATAATAATAATACACATTTAAACATGCAATTCCAATGTTAAAAACAATAACAGCTTCATCTATGACATTCAAGCTCTATACAGCTTATATGGACATAACAAATTGCTATTGACAACAGTACAATACAACATAAAATATAACCATGACATAAGTAACACATAAAGACTGTGCCTAGCACACACCTAACCACAAAAACCTATAACACCACTGTTGCCCAACTTTATTTACACTATCTGACGTACATTAAACTCTTTACTCTCAAAACAAAACTGAAAATTGCAGATCACCAGTGACGAACAATAATGCACAGACATTAATACAAACATATCACATCATAACTCTGGACACCGTGCATGATCACAGCATCAACACCATGCAGTGCAAAGCACCTAGAAAAAAAGTTGGAGCAAATACATGCAATTATTATAGCAAAACTCCAAATTACAATGTCATTACCGTAAATCAATATTACCATACGCAATATATATAATAGGTGTATAGTCCAGTCACACAAAAAACTGGCCAGCTCCACAGGTGCTAGCACCCGTGGTCCACATATTATTCACTCACGCATCACTCATCCAACACTCACGCAAACATTTATTGTCATCCATTACCAGGGAGGTGACCCTGTTTTCGCCCATGACTTCCCTACCCCAGAAACAATTTCCAATCATACCCTCCCCTCCCTCGTATATTACAAGTCTAATAAAACCTGTAACGTGAGTTGCCTATATCCCTCTGAAAAATCCTTCACCCACCTCCTCCCATAAATTTCCTTATTTCTAAATACCGTTTTATAGAACGTTACCGCTAACGCCCTCCTCTTCACCTCAGTAACCTGTTTCCCCCGCAATCCCCACACTATATAGATATAATCTGCCATAATGTATCCCACAGCTCTGATTACACGTTCCTCCCAACCCCCCACGTCGAGACTTAATGCTCTCAATACAGAAATTCTTTACCTCCTATCCTATTATCACCCTATTTAACCACCCCTTGACACTCCTCATTCCATCACAAAAATATACTACATGAAAAGCCGACTCCTCCCCACCACATATCCCACACTCCCCCCCGTCAACGACTCGTCTATCCCGTAAAACCCCACACCCGACGGTAAAATGCTGTGCAGGAAACGATACATTACATCCCGAACACGAGGTTGCAACCGCATCCTACGCAACCTATTCCATATACTTCCCCATGCATACATGGGGAAAATTCCCTCTACAGGCGCTACAACCCTTCCGGCTAACAATCTACACAACCTACCTATTTTAACCTTTGCTGGCTCTCGATCCCACGCCAGAGCCCTCAACACAGTTTCACACTCATGCAACTCAACTCCTGTATACATCCGTTGCAATCTGTTATGGATCCTGGCCAAACCTCCCCCACCCACACTTTCCCTCATCACCTCCCTTTTAATGAAGACACATTTGACCCTCCGCTTTAAGTCCAGCAATCCCAGCCCCCCCTGACTTACAGGTAACATTACCACATCCCTTTTAATCCAATCACAACTCGAACCCCACAAGAATTTAAAAACCTTCCTAAGTATGTTCGTTATTGCTGGCCCAGTTAATGGGAACACGGCTGCCACGTGCCATACTTTGCTATACAGTAAGATATTAATAACAATGGCACGCTGCACAAGGGTCAAATGATAAGGTCGCAATGCACCCAAGCGTCCCTGAATCCTTTCTACCATCCTAATCGAGTTTTCCGTGCGTGCCACAGTTAGATCGTCTGCATAAATCAGACCGCAAATTTTTAACGAATTCACCTGCCTCCTCACAACTGCACTACCCCAATCAACCCTACCGGCCCAAGCTCCTAACCCCATAACCATGGATTTATCTGAATTTACCCTCATACCAGTTGCCCCTGCGAACATTTTTACTACCCCGTCTAATGTGTCCATTGACATCCCCTCCCTGATCAGAACAGTTGTATCATCCACATACCCAATTAAAACTGGCCAAACCCTCGCAACCTCACACCCTGGTCCCTCTACGTGACACATACGCTGCTCCACCAATCTATAAAAGGGTCCTGTACGCACGAAAACAATAATTGTGACATAGACAAACCCCTGCCTAATTCCCCTACCCATTACAATCTTCTCACCCAATCGACCATTAATCTGTACCCTCGCCATTGCACCTCCATACAACGCCTCAACCCAACCCACTATTTCTTCCCCAAACCCCTGACCCCTGAGGATGGCTTTCAATGCTTTCCGATCCACTCTATCGTATGCCCCTTGCCAATCGAGCGCCACCAAACCTCCCTCCCTCCCTCCCCCCCCTTTGCCTCCACGAAATCCCTAAGTAACCCATGGACCTCCCTGGCAAACCAAACTGAGTTTTTGATACTACCCGCCCTACCACACACTTGACCCGATTTCCCAAAATCTTCGCAAACAATTTATAATCTGCGCATAACAACGAGATCGCCCGGTAATCCCGAAGCGTGTGCTGCCCCTTACCCTTCGGTACCAATACAACGACAGCCGTTGCCTGCTTCTCACCCAGCTCACCTCTCTCCTTCATGCAATTTAATAACCTAACCAAAAAATGCCTCAATTGAACTTTATTGAGTTAAGACTTAGGGAGATTGACACCAGTGAGTCCATCTATCATCATTCTATCATGCAGGAGGAGCCACATGTCTATGGTGCATCCAACAAGATAAGCAGACTCTTGGATGTCACTACTGCCCGGCTCCGGCTGGGTTACAAGTATCTTTGGCAGGTTAAATCACCACCACCAGATGTAGACCAAACGAAATGTAAACTTTGCCAGATGGATTATTGTCACACCCTGCGTCATTATGTACTGGAGTGCGATAAAATTAATGAATTTAGAAACAACTCAGAAATGTGTGTGTAAGCGCGCGCGCTCGTGTGGGTGTATGACCCAGGTGTATGACCAGGTGTGGACATATCAGTGGCTCATTACTTCGTAATTTGTTCATTGTAACCATGTATAGGAGTGAGAATGATTCATTACCTCTGTAACTTGTCATGATTGTGACCAGATCTACCTGGAGTTCATTACCTTTGTAACTAGTTCAGCTATCATAACTTTACCCCAAAGTCCCTGGACCCATTATGTACTTCTGATGTTGAGGTACAGTTCTTGGGCCCATTATGTACCTCTGTAATCTTTTGACTACGACCTACAGGATGGGTATGAGGTGCATAATAAAGATATTAAACAAAGTATCCGGTTGTAGTGTCCACTACAGTGCCTGGGTGTAGTGCCCACAGCAATGCCTGGGTATAGTGTTCACTACAGTGCCAGGGTGTACTGGCCACTATAGTGTTTGTGTGTCTTCCGGGTGTCTGTGCTCTGGCAAGGAAATCCACCTGACCCCAATGGAAATAAGTCAGACTATTTTTGGGGTTATCCTGGTAGGTAATCTACATATATGCTGCTATGTATGACAAATTTATGTAACTGTATTTATGTATACATGTTCCTGAATACACTTTACTTACTTATCTCTAAAACTCTAAGTTAGGGTGTCTCGTGGCCTGTTAGGCAACGCTCTCGCCTCACAGAAAGAGTATCCGTGGTTCGATCCTCGGCAAGGGTGGAAACATTGGGTGAGTTTCCTTACACCTGCTGTCACTGTTCATCTAGCAGTATGTACGTACCTGGGTGTTAGGTGACTGGTGTGGGTGGCATCCTGGGGGACAAGATTGAAGGACCACAATGGAAATAAGACAGTCCTTGATGACGCACTGACTATCTTGGGTTATTCTGGATGGCTAACCACCAGGGTTAAAAATCAGAACAAAATCTTATCTTAATGTGGAACATCACAAAGAGGTGTTGTATATGCGGTGTCCTGTATTGTTCCCGGACACCCGACAAGCCGGGTTCAATAAGCCAGGAACTTTAGCGACCCTTAACAACAACAACAACAACAACATGGAGGGGGGTGTGGCGGTGCCTCTGACTCTCATACAACCTCAGTATTTATTACAGGTACATTATTATTACAGGTACAGGTAACTTGCATTAAGTTACTCTGTTTTGAAACAGCTTTTTAGACCTTAGAATTTCAGACAAAGTTTTCCAGGTCATTTTTATATCACATTTTATGACATGAAATCTGGTTTGATACAGGTTTTTTTTTTTTGACCTTATTAGATTAGTTAGTATTGACGAGTGATGTTCTGCCAGATTATTTATTAGACCCATTCTGTACTGTTTTTCATGTTTTTTTTTTTTTTTTATAGGCCCCTCAAGGAAGGTTCCTTGATGTTGGTGAGGGGCTCTTGATTTAGGGAATTGGATCTGTGCTCCAGTTCCCCAAATTAAGCCTGAATGCCTTCCACATCCCCCCCCCCCCAGGCGCTGTATAATCCTCCGGGTTTAGCGCTTCCCCCTTGATTGTAATAATAATAATAATCATGTTTTTTATCAATAGATTAGAGGAGGATGTTTGGAAGTCGGGTTAAGATTAGGTTTCGTACGGTTTTTAACCCCGGAGGGTTAGCCACCCAGGATAACCCAGGGGAGGGTTAGCCACCCAGGATAACCCAGGGGAGGGTTAGCCACCCAGGATAACCCAGGGGAGGGTTAGCCACCCAGGATAACCCAGGGGAGGGTTAGCCACCCAGGATAACCCAGGGGAGGGTTAGCCACCCAGGATAACCCAGGGGAGGGTTAGCCACCCAGGATAACCCAGGGGAGGGTTAGCCACCCAGGATAACCCAGGGGAGGGTTAGCCACCCAGGATAACCCAGGGGAGGGTTAGCCACCCAGGATAACCCAGGGGAGGGTTAGCCACCCAGGATAACCCAGGGGAGGGTTAGCCACCTAGGATAACCCAAGAAAGTCAGTGCGTCATCCAGGACTGTCTAACTTATTTCCATTGTGGTCTTTAATCTTGTCCCCCAGGATGCCACCCACACCAGTTACCTAACACCCAGGTACCTACTTACTGTTAGGTGAACAGGACAACAGGTGTAAGGAAACACATTGAAATGTTTCAACCCTGCCAGGAATCGAACCCGGGCCCTCCGTGTGTGTGAAGCGAGGGGTTTCGTTTCTTAGTCTTTATTGGCCAATGCATGTTTATAGAGGTTTTGAGTTTTTTGTACAAAAATATTAGCACATTATCGAGGGTAATTACTAGCTCGTTTTGCCAGTTGATGTTATTTGATGACTCGTTGTAGTCAGAAGGTGATCTTGTGTCGTGGGGTAATTTGCATTACTTGGTTATAAGACATAAGAACATAAGAATGGAGGAACACTGCAGAAGGCCTAATGGCCCATACAAGGCAGGTCCTTATCAAAACGACCCCTACTCAAAGCTTCCCATGAATATCCTCCCATATCCAATGAAAATAAGAAAAAGTTTTGGAGTGAGATTAACAAGTTAGGGAAGCCTAGAGAACAAGTGGATTTGTCAGTTAAAAATAGGAGAGGAGAGTTATTAAATGGAGAGTTAGAGGTATTGGGAAGATGGAGGGAATATTTTAAGGAATTGTTAAATGTTGATGAAGATAGGGAAGCTGTGATTTCGTGTATAGGGCAAGGAGGAATAACATCTTGTAGGAGTGAGGAAGAGCCAGTTGTGAGTGTGGGGGAAGTTTGTGAGGCAGTAGGTAAAATGAAATGGGGTAAGGCAGCCGGGATTGATGGGATAAAGATACAAATGTTAAAAGCAGGTGGGGATATAGTTTTGGAGTGGTTGGTGCAATTATTTAATAAATGTATGGAAGAGGGTAAGGTACCTAGGGATTGGCAGAGAGCATGCATAGTTCCTTTGTATAAAGGCAAAGGGGACAAAAGAGTGCAAAAATTATAGGGGGATAAGTCTGTCGAGTGTACCTGGTAAAGTGTATGGTAGAGTTATTATTGAAAGAATTAAGAGTAAGACGGAGAATAGGATAGCAGATGAACAAGGAGGCTTTAGGAAAGGTAGGGGGTGTGTGGACCAGGTGTTTACAGTGAAACATATAAGTGAACAGTATTTAGATAAGGCTAAAGAGGTCTTTGTGGCATTTATGGATTTGGAAAAGGCGTATGATAGGGTGGATAGGGGGGCAATGTGGCAGATGTTGCAAGTGTATGGTGTAGGTTACTGAGAGCAGTGAAGAGTTTTTTACGAGGATAGTGAGGCTCAAGTTAGAGTATGTAGGAAAGAGGGAAATTATTTCCCAGTAAAAGTAGGCCTTAGACAAGGATGTGTGATGTCACGTGGTTGTTTAATATATTTATAGATGGGGTTGTAAGAGAAGTAAATGCGAGGGTCTTGGCAAAAGGCGTGGAGTTAAAAGATAAAGAATCACACAAAGTGGGAGTTGTCACAGTTGCTCTTGCTGTGACACTGTGCTCTTGGAGATTCTGAAGAGAATTTGCAGAGATTGGTGGATGAATTTGGTAGGTGTGAAAAGAAGAAAATAAAAGTGAATACAGGAAAGAGAAAGGGTTTAATGAGGATAAAAAGATTAGGTGATGAAAGATTGGATATCGGATTGGAGGGGAGAGAAATGAGGGGGGTGAATGTATTCAGATATTGGGAGTGGACTGTCAGCGGATGGGTCTATGAAAGATGAGGTGAATCATAGAATTGATGAGGGAAAAGGTGAGGGGTGCACTTAGGGGGTCTGTGGAGAAAAAAGAACTTTGTCCTTGGAGGAAAAGAGGGGAATGTATAGGAGTAAAGTTTTAAAACCAACCTCTTATAAAGGGTGTGAAGCATGGACGATGAATGTTGCAGCGAGGAAAGGCTGGAGGCAGTGAGATGTCATGTCTGAGGGCAATGTGTGGTGTGAATATAATGCAGAGAATTCATAGTTTGGAAGTTTTGGAGGAGGTGCGGGATTACCAAAACTGTTGTCCAGAGGGGTGAGGAGGGGTTTTTGAGGTGGGTTTGGACATGTAAGGAGAATGGAGCGAAACAGAATGACTTCAAGAGTGTATCAGTCTGTAGTGGAAGGAAGGTGGGGTAGGGGTCGGACCCAGGAAAGGTTGGAGGGGGGGGAAAGGAGGTTTTGTGTGCGAGGGGCTTGGACTTCAGCAGCATGCGTGAGCGTGTTTGATAGGAGTGAATGGAGACAAATGGTTTTTAATACTTGACGTGCTGTTGGAGTGTGAGCAAAGTAACATTTATGAAGGGATTCAGGGAAACCGGCAGGGCGGACTTGAGTCCTGGAGATGGGAAGTACAGTGCCTGCACTCTGAAGGAGGGGTGTTAATGTTGCAGTTTAAAAACTGTAGTGTAAAGCACCCTTCTGGCAAGACAGTGATGGAGTGAGTGATGGTGAAAGTTTTTCTTTTTCGGGCCACCCTGCCTTGGTGGGAATCGGCCAGTGTGATAATATAACTAATAATAAAACATAGTTTCAGTTTTGGAGTATCACAGGCCAACTTATGACTAGTTAAGATTCATTATTTTGAGATTGAGATTGATATTTCTGTTTATGGTCAAATGGGTGAGTGAGTGTAAGTGTTAACCACCAGGTGGTATTCGTGTAGTTAGTTGACAGGGTGTATCAGGGAGATAAGATGTTTTCTGATGGTAGTTTTGAAGGTGATGAATGTGTCTGCAGTTTTAGAATTTTCAGGTAGGGTGTTCCAGATTTTAGGGCCTTTGACATACATTGAATTTTTGTAAAGGGTTTAGTCGGACCCCAGGGAATGTCATAGAGATGTTTGTGTCTGGTGTTGTGCTTGTGGGTTCTGTCACAACTATCAAGAAAGAGTTTTAGGTCAAGGTTAATATTGGAATTTAAGGTCCTGTAGATGTAGATTGCACAGTAGTAAGTGGGGAAATTTTTCTGAACTGGGAGTAAGTTTAGATCATGAAGAGTGGGGGGGTGTTTTGCCAGGATGGGATTTAGTGATTATTCTTACTGCGGCTTTTTTGTTGGTTATTAGTGGCTTTAGGTGTGTTGCTGCAGTTGAACCCCAAGCACAGATAGCAAGCATAGGTGAGGTATGGATATATAAGTGAATGGTATAGTGTGAGAAGGGCAGTTTGCGGCACGTAGTATTGTATCTTGGAGAGGAGCCCAACCGTTTTGGATACTTTTTTGGTTATGTGTTGGATATGGGTGCTGAAGTTCAGGTGTGTTGAGGTATAGGCCTAGGAATTTGCCCTCATTATGCCTGGCAATTAGAGTGTTGTCGATCTTAATGTTAATTTGCACATCTCCTGCTCTGCTACCAGTGTTAAGCATAAGTTTATTGGCTATCATCCAAGTCGATATTTTGATCAGCTCCTCATTAACAATGGTGTTGAGGGTGGCAAGATTAGGGTGAGAGATGACATAAGTCGTGTCGTCAGCAAAGAGAATGGGGTTCATGTGTTGAGATACGTTTGGAAGATCATTGATGTATATGAGGAAGAGCAGGGGACCAAGGACACTTCCCTGCGGAACTCCAGTATCAAGTGGCTGTGTTGTTGATGCTGTGTCTTTAATGGTGACATACTGATACCTATTAGTCAGGCAAGATTTGAAATATGCAAGCGCATGGCCTCTTATACCATAATAATGGTCAAGTTTGTGGAGTAGGATGCCGTGGTCTACTGTGTCAAAAGCTTTTCTTAGGTCAATAAAAATTCCTACACAAACCCACTACCATTATAGTATGATCCTCACCAACAAATTCGTAGGAATGATACTCCATCGTCAAGTGAGGAGAGGCTGTATTAAATTGATTCTGTACTTATTTTTGTTATTCTTATCTCCCTAACAGTTTGTTCATCATGTAATTGACTATATGTGTGGTGGACCGGGTGTCTCCCATGAGATGTACAAAGACTGTCCTCTTGATAAGTTCTGGCTTGCTATACAGCAAGTTAAAACTATTGCACAGGAAGTGACATTAGGAAACTTAACACAAGAAAAGGTTAGTATGAGTGAAACTGTGTTTATTGTAGTATTAAAGTTGTGTTTGTCATTCACTGCAGTGTATAAATCTGTAGTGGAGGGGGGGGGGGTAGGGGTCATCCCAGGAAAGGATGGAGGGAGGAGTTCAAAGAGATTTTGTGTGAGAGGAGCTTGGACATACAGCAGGCATGTGTGAGCATGTTAGATAGGAGTGAGTGGAGATGAATGGTTTTTTGGGGACCTGACGAGCTGTTGGAAAGCAAGCAGGGTAATATTTTGTGAAGGGATTTGGGGAATCCGGTTAGTCGGACTTAAATCCTGGAGATGGGAAATACAGTGTCTTCACTTTAAAGGAGGGATTTTGGATATTGGCTGTTTGGAGTGATACTTAAACTGTAATATCTGGGCACCTCTGCAAACACAGTGATAGTGTGAATGATGGTTAAAGTGTTTCTTTTTCAGGTCACCCAGCCTTAGTGGGAGACTGCCAATGTGTTAAAAATAAATTATATAATTTTTATTTTATGCATAATTGTATTTTGTTTCAGGTTGTAAGTTTGCTGTCGCCACTCGGTCAGAAGACAGCAGAAAATGTTTATCATATTGTAAATGCAAGAAACGCAGAGGTTGTTGACCACATGTTGAGAGAAACACTGAAAAATACTCAACATCTGAAGGATTTTGACTGGAATGTTAGGGTATGTTTATTAACTGATTAAAATGTACAATATATAAATTAACTGCACATATACAGACATGAATGCATGTATTAATAATTTCCTAAAAAAAAAACACTGCCTCTATAACAAGCACTGCCCTTAAAAAACTAAACAGATCACAGTTAAGAGACTGAATAGTCCCTGGCTAACACCCAGCATCCTTAAATCCATTAACACAAAGCACCAACATAAAAAAAAGTACAGAATGGGTCAGATAACTAGAGAACAGTCCAAACGTTATTCGTCCGCTCTTACCAGCCTGATAAGAAGGTCTAAAAAATTGTATTATGAAAACAGATTATATAACATTAAAGTTGATATGAAAAAGACCTGGAAAACCATATCAGAAATTCTAGGAACTATAAAGATATCCAAAAACAAAACAGTCAAATTAACAAAATCTGATGAACCCCTACTCCCATCAACTGAAACAGCAAACAGACTCGGTGTTTTCTTCTCCACTATAGGAAAGAACCTAGCGAGCAAAATCCCAAGCTCAAACACCTGTCCATCAGACTACCTCTTGGGCACCTACCCAAATACACTATTCCTAGCCCCTACCAACCCAGCAGAAGTCTCATTCATCATCAACAACCTTAAAAACAAGGCAGGAGACATAACTTGCCAACTTTTATGTACCAAAAAGCTTCTCAAGTATTGTCACCAGTTATTGCAACGCTCTTTACCAAATCCATTGAATCCTTCACCTTCCCAGCAATTCTCAAAATAGCGAGGGCTCACCCCAGTCCACAAAGGAGGTGACCAAACTGACTTGAATAACTATAGACTAATATCTAACTTACAACTGCTCTCTAAAATCTTTGAAAAATTAATTCATAGATGGATCTATTACTACCTCATCTCACACAACATACTAAACCCCTGTCAGTTTGGATTCAGGAATAATAAAAGTACAAATGATGCTATCATATACAGTGGACCGCCGGTTTACGATATTATTTCATTCCAGAAGTATGCTCAGGTGCCAGTACTGACCGAATTTGTTCCCATAAGGAATATTGTGAATTAGATTAGTCCATTTCAGACCCCCAAACATACACATACAAACGCACTTACATAAATATACTTACATAATTGGTCGCATAGGGAGCTGATCGTAAACCGGGGGTCCACTGTACTTGCTAGAGCTAATATATACTGCTCTTGAGAAGAAAGAAGTTCTGTTGGGCATTTTCACTGATTTACGTAAAGCTTTTAATACAGTTGACCATGAATTGCTGCACACAGAATTAACACACTGTGGTATAAGAGGCCACTCCCTCAACTACTTAGTCATACTTTAGTAACAGAAGCCAATATGTGTACACAAATGGTGCAAACTCTTCCACTCAACCAATCGCAGTAGGAGTCCCGCAGGGAAGTGTCCTTGGACTACTACTCTTTCTCATCTACATCAGTGACCTACCAAATGCATCACAGCTACTCAAACCCATATTATTTGCAGATGATACAACATATGTCTTCTCCCTCCCAAACCCAGTCATACTCGCCAACACTGTCAGTGCCAAACTGCAGAAAATATCTGCCTGGATGATGACTAATAAACTTACATACTCTGAATACTGACAAAACCTATTCCATTCAGTTTGGAAACAGAGGTGCGAATGTTCCACTTAACATAGTGCTAAACAGATCACCCATCACAAGACTCGCAGAGGGAAAATTCCTAGGAATCCACCTTGACAGTAGCCTCAAATTCCAGACACACATACAACAAATTTCTAAGAAAATCTCTAAGACAGTTGGCATACTATCAAAGATATGGTACTATGTTCCACAATCAGCTCTCCTTGCACTGTATCATTCACTCTTATACCCTTATCTCACATATGGAATTTGTGCATGGGGGTCAACAACAATAAATCACCTAAGACCACTAATAACACAGCAAAAGACTGCAGTCAGAATGATTGTCAGCATAAACCATACCCCCGGCCGGGATTGAACCCACTGCCGTCAACATGACGGCCGGGGGTATGGTTTATTTGCAATCGTGTCATTACGATTTCTTGAGTCATTGTCAGCATAGTTGCTGAACCCCCTTACATGTGTTGTATAGATTAGCTGAGCATTATAGTATTATCCATGTGTTTATATAGAAGACCCCTTAGGCTGAGTGACGGTGTGACGTCACAGGATACGCATGTGTACGTTCGTACCTGTGCCTCCTCCTCAGTCGGCGTTTGACACAGGCTAGGACAAGACAGAGGCTGGGTTCCATCTCCCATCATCAGAGTCTGACAATATATCGTTACCATCCAACAAGTGTGTCTACCTTCAACCCTCGATATCTCCTTTTAAGAACCCCTACGACAAATGGTGGCAGTGGCAATAAATCACCTAAGACCACTAATAACACAGCAAAAGACTGCAGTCAGAATGATTACAAATTCCCACTCCCGACAGCATACTCCACCAATATTCAAAAGGCTAAATCTGCTCACCATAAAGAACATCTATACTTATTCATGTGCCTACTACATACATAGAACACTACACTCAAACATAAACCCTCCACTCAAACTTCTCCTCGCCAAGTTTAACAGGACACACGACCATAACACAAGACACAGATCTTTTGATGTACCCCATGTCCATATCACACTGTGTAAAAACTCTGTGCACATATAGGGCCCCAAAATTTGGAATACATTACCAGAAAATACTAAAGAAACCCAATCTGAAAATCAATTTAAGACTCTTCTCAAAAGCCACTTAATTTATTTATTTATTTATTTATTTATTTAGAAATTTAGCATACATACAGAGGTACAAAAAATACAGGTAAGAGCAGCATGCCAAAGCCACTTATATGCATTGCATTACGGGCTGGCTTAAAATTAACTTAAGATTAACTAAGCAATGATGAAATCAGTGATAAGACATTATTGTAAACAGATAACTATAAAATACAAATGAGTATTACAAAGACAGGTCATATGCTTGCATGCATTGTTGTACATTCAGTAGAATGGAGTATTCTGTTAGGGATGTATTTAAAAAAAATAACAAAGTTTTGGTTTAACATTTGTGTGATATAATTGTGAGTAACATTTTGGATATACAATTTATAAGGTTCAGTTATTCAGTATTTATTTGGTTTTGGGTGAGAAAAGTGAACTTTGAGAAGAGACTTAAATTTATAAACAGGTGTGTTTCTTTATATTTACAGGAAAAGAATTCCAGATTTTAGGGCCTTTTATGTGCATTGAGTTTTTGCATAGCGTGAGATGGACACGAGGAACATCAAAGAGTGATCTGTGCCTTGTGTTATGGTCATGTGTTCTGTTGAGGTTGGAAAGGGAGATGTTTGAGGGGAGGGTTAATATCAGAGTTAAGTGTTCTATGTTGTAATAAGTGCAATAATAAGTAGGGATGTTTTGTATGGTGAGTAGGTTGAGTGTTTTGAATTTTGTGGAGTGTGCTGCCTGTATTGAGAATTTGTATCATTCAAACCGCAGCCTTTTGTTGGGAAATTAGTGGTCTGAGATGGTTAGTTTGTTGTTGAGCCCCATGCACAAATTCCATAGTTAAGATAGGGTAAATAAGAGAGTGATAGGGGGCCAGGAGGGCTGACTGGGGAACATAGTACCGTATCTTCGATAGTATGCCTACAGTCTTGGAAATTTTCTTAGAAATTTGTTTGTTATGTGTAAGAAATTTGAGTCTATTATCGAGGGGATTCCTAAGAATTTTCCCTCTGTTAAGCTTTGGGGATAGGTGATCCGTTATCGTTATGTTAAGAGGTACTCTGTAGCTCTGTTACCAAACTGAATGAAAGTAGGTTTTGTCAATGTTTAGTGTAAGTTTGCTTAGTCCTCATCCAGGTAGATATTTTCTGTAATTCGGTTTTACAGTATTGGCTGGCATGACTGGGCTCGGGTGAGAGAAGACGTATGTAGTGTCATCTGCAAAAAATGTGGGTTTGAGTAATTGCGAAGCATTTGGTAGGTCATTTATGTATAGGAGAAAGAGAAGAGGGCCAAGGACACTTCCCTGTGGGATACCAACTGTAATTGGTTGTGCGGAAGAGCTTGCCCCATTTGCGTACACATATTGGCTTCTGTTGCTGAGGTATGACTTGAGGTAGTTGAGGGAGTGCCCTCTTATACCATAGTGTGACAATTTTACGTGGAGCAAGTCATGGTCAACTGTATCAAAAGCTTTACGTAATCACCCTAGACTAAATACTCAACATTTAACTTCACTAATAAATCTCCCCATCACCTAGATCTTAAAACTTCAAGACTAGATGACTAAGTTCATACATTGACTAATACTACATAGTAGTATAAATTATTATTTTTATTATTATCACACTGGCCGATTCCCACCAAGGCAGGGTGGCCCGAAAAAGAAAAACTTTCACCATCATTCACTCCATCACTGTCTTGCCAGAAGGGTGCTTTACACTACAGTTTTTAAACTGCAACATTAACACCCCTCCTTCAGAGTGCAGGCACTGTACTTCCCCTCTCCAGGACTCAAGTCCGGCCTGCCGGTTTCCCTGAACTCCTTCATAAATGTTACTTTGCTCACACTCCAACAGCACGTCAAGTATTAAAAACCATTGTCTCCATTCACTCTATCAAACACGGTCACGCATGCCCCTGGAAGCCAAGCCCCTCGCACACAAACCTCTTACCCCCTCCCCCCCAACCTTTCCAAGGCTGACCCCTACCCCCCCTTTCCCTTTCCACTACAGACTGAACACTCTTGAAGTCACTCTGTTTCGCTCCATTCTCTCTACATGTCCGAACCACCTCAACAACCCTTCCTCAGCCCTCTGGACAACAGTTTTGGCAATCCCGCACCTCCTCCTAACTTCCAAACTACGAATTCTCTGCATTATATTCACACCACACATTGCCCTCAGACATGACATCTCCACTGCCTCCAGCCTTCTCCTCGCTGCAACATTCATTACCCATGGTAAAACTATACTCCCATACATTCCC